TGAGGAAAAAATGTTTCTTAAAATGATTTCTGAGTGTTTGCACAGCAAGTGAACACATGATTACAGAGGAGATTAGTGGATTAAGGTATCGACAGTTGGCGGCCTTAAGGCTATAGATAAAAAGACTCCACATTCTATCCATAAAATCAGATTTTATTCTTATCCACATACAAACAATGCTAGATAAGTACACCATAGATAGAATTATTTGGAGAACACCACTGTCACTTAGGCATGTTCATTGTAGAAAACAAAACAACAATGGAAAGCAACAATTTCACGTATGTATCTATCTCTATGAAGCACCAGGTAACAGCATCTGCATCACAAATACGCTCAGAGAGCTTTGACTCTTCCCTGGGGCTGGAGCGAAATTTCTTTTCTATATTTTAAGATTTGAATTTACTTATCTTAAAATGGAAACTTTAAGATTATCGTAAAGATTAAGATTGTTGTTATAAAAATATTTAATGTATTTTGATGAGAAATTAAGTAGCTACAGCAAATGTAATTTTAATTTTTGGGAAACAGAAACAAACCTTGCTTGCTGCCTGCTGTTTTTTCATATATGCAAATCTTTCTACATTTCAGAAAAACCTAGCTGCCTTGTACAATCCCATAAACGTTTTACTGTTTTATGAGATGTTTGCAATAAATGTGATTGATGATATTTTTACAATTGCCTATTAGAAATACACTGTTTTGTGATTAAATACTTAGCTATGCGATTATAAGCTAAGGATTGACAGGAAAGTAAAAATGTAGTCATAATCTATTTAAATTGACTTGTGTTTATTTTAGATATATATTTATTTACTTTAGTTTTGCAGTGGTTTTTCATCTCAATCAATTGCAAACATATCTAAAAATACTGCTACTGTATCGTGGGCAGGGAACGAGCTCTGAGCTGCGCTCACATATAGTCACAAGCGTGAATAACTATAATTACATTGGAGTGCATCCAAGGAATCAGCTATTCTGTTTACACTTACTGCCTCTTCACATTTATGTGCACCTCAAGCAGACACACTGCAGATTGATTTTAATACTAAAAAATATTGACCTTGTTAGTGCTGTTTACTGAATATATTTCACAATGCTATTATCCAACAAAAATGTAAAATGAGGATAAATGTTAATAAGATGTTGACTCAAATTTCAAACTGTATGTCTCCTTTCTCATATTGAAAACATCTGTTGGCTTAATGTCGTCAGAGACAATTCAGGAAAATACAAATATACAGTCTTGGTCCTGAAGGCCTTTAAAATAGGAATAGCCTGACAGAGAGTAGACTGCTGAGGTCCCTTTTGACTCAGCCTGGGAATAGAGCTTGGCTCATGTCCAGGCATCCACTTGAAGTTGGACTTAAAAGAGGATGAAGGAAATACATTTGAGCTACTCTAGCTTTAGGTGGAAAGAAAAAAAGTTATAGTCTATTTAGACTAAAGAGGATATGAAAATCTCTTCTCCATTCAATTTACCTTTAAAAGGAGACTTGTTGATTTAAGTCACAGACTAAACAAGATTATTGAGAATAGCCTTAAAGTTTATCAAATGACAGCACATATTCATAACCATCACAGGGTTTTCTAGTTTGAATGGTATGTCCTGATATTGTCCTGATACCGACTGACTGACTGTGGCATAAATATTTATTTTACTACTATGTAAATCCTCATTTGCCAAAAGTCTATGGAGCACTTTTCTATATACATTAATGAATGAGATTGGTTTAATTTTTAAAATTAGCCTAACAATGCTTATTACAAAGATATTAATGGTTTATTGAGTGACAAGAGGAGCTTTAAGTCACATTTGACATAATTTAATATTGATGATTTTTATCATTTTATATTATAAGTCTTCCATGACCCTTTTAATCTCTTGTAGGGAACTTCCTTAATCAAGCATTGTTCCTGTCTTCATTGTGCTAAGTGTCAACTATTTATATTAGTCTATAAAATGTTCTATCTCCTTGAAGATTTAATGTATTGCCACAGGCTTGCACATGAGTCTAACTTACTTTTTTTTTCACTCTCACTTACAATTATTTTTTTAACTCAAAATCCCACCTCAGGCTCCGCACAAGGATGAATCTCCTCTGGCTGCTGACCAGGGAATCCAAAGCCTTATAATCAGACCCAGTGCTTTGGAAAGTGGACTAGTGCAGATGTGGTTAAGTTATAATTTAACACCTCCTTATTTGTTCACCCTTTGACCCATTTAAACTTCATTTTAGTTTTTATTAGTTGAACAATGAGCAAGGAAGATCAAAGAAGAACTTATGCATTTGAATAGTGGTGCTGGAGAAACAAATTGAAAATGCCATGCACACATGTGTCTTGGAAGTAGTACATCCAGAGTGCTCTTCGGAGACGAGGATGGCCAGCTCGGCTTCTTTCCGTGTCCTTTGGACATGTTGTCAGGCGAGCCCAGTCCGTGGAGCAGGACATCATGCTTGATAAAGTGGAGAGACAGCAAAAAAGAGGAAGGCCCTGAACAAGATGGATTGACACAGTAGCAACAACAATGGGCTTCAGCACAGGAACAACGGTGAGGGAGACACAGGACCAAGGAGTATCTTGTTCTGTTGTGCCCACGGTTGCTGTGGATCAGAACGGGCTCAATGGCACCGAATAACAACAACAGCTTTTATTACTTTCCACTTTCTTTTTCATTTAAATTTTTCTCTGTTATATTTTGTGATTCTGGTTCTTAATTTTTTGTATGTTTTTCTTTACTTGAAATCCAGGATATGTAAATCTGTAGAGACAGTAGTTGAATGAATAGTTTCCTTGGGTTATGTCAGAGGGAGTTGGGAAGAAGAGGGAGGTAATAATAATAATGAGTATAAGAGACAAGAAAATGTTCTAAAATTGATTGTGGTGATGATTGCACAACTCTTTTCAGCATATTTAAACTATTGAATTGTATGATAGGTGAAGTATATATCAATAAAACTTAAGATTGGTAAAAAATGGCACATATGATAGCTCTTTAAGTATATTTATATAAATGACTGCCATTCTTCATGACACAATTACATGTTATAGAATTTTCATTATCTGCAGTGGTATCCATAATTTGTGTGTTAGGCCCAGTTGTCTAGAGAACTAAATCCAGTGACAGTCATCTATGCATAAGAAAGAGTTTTATATCAAGAAGGCATCCCAGCCCAGTCCAATTCAAGTTCATAAGTCATATGCTAGTCCATCTTCTGACTTACGTAGCCACAAGCCAGTGACACAGAATAGTGAATCAGGAAAATCACAGGCTGGTGGGTCCAAAGTCACGTGGATTCAAAGTCAGTGGAAACATGGCAGTCCACCCACAGCTGTTGGCACCAACATGGGGCCACTCCTTGTGGCAGGCAGAGTTCCAGCAGGAAGAAAGGCTGGTGGGGGTGGGGTGGGGGGAGAGATTGTCATTGTTCACCTTGCTCTTATACAAAGGCTTCTGACATCAAGGCGTGTCATCAGGCTGTGAATTGACAGGTCTAACTCCACCACTAATTAGGAGTGTCTAGTGGACATGATCCCTAACTACCACAATTTGTTAGGATTCACACAATCTGATACCTTTGCACAGTTAATAAAACACATGAAATTTTCTTCCTGGTATTTTTTGCTTGCCACAATGACATCCCTCATTCCAACTCGTCTTTCGAATCTGGCTTGAATTCTTGGCTGACCTCTGTTGATGTACTGTGATAATAACTGTTTTAGAATTATCCTCATCAAAATTTTACTTGCATGTGATATTAATCATATTGTTAAAAATGCTGAATTCAATCTGTCACAGCACCTTTGTTTGGACTGTGCTTCAATGTTTATCTCTTCCAATCGCTTGGCCAGGTAGCTGCTTTTCAAACATCATTGCATAGATGCGTGAGTGCTTCACATTGTATCAATTTTTAAAAATATCTCAACTGTCATCCCATCAGTCTTTGGAGCCTTATTTTTCACTAATACCTGGCATTCTTACTTCGACACAATTGGTTCTTGATCTTTTTCTGCTTACTGAAATGATTCAGCTTCGATCAATTTGGTACCATGATCCTGTGTGCGCCTTCAAGTTTTTTCTCCATGCTGCTTGAATCATTCAGTATTTTGCCAATAGAATCTTTCAGTATTGTAAATCAAGGCTTGAATATTTGTCTTCCATTCTTCCTGCTTGAGAAATGTGGACATGTCCCTTCATTTTGGATTTCTACCTCCAGGTCTTTGTGAAGCTTGTGACAGTGCTTCCTCGTCAAGTGCTGTCCTGGAAACACCCTGTTCCGCTCCTTTCTCCATTTCCCTACTGACTTGAAAGCAACTTTCCGAGTGTTTTCTGACATCCGCTATGTCCAACAATGTTCGCCTGCTACGTACAAGATTTTCCTGGCGAGGTTTATTTTAGAAATAAATTTGAGTGTTCTTCTTCCTAGACTGTTATCGTCACAAAGTTCCACTGAAACCTACCCACTACTGGGGACCCTGTTGGCACTTGACTTGCACGTGTTCTAGCTTCTAGTGTCCCAGCCTCACACACCCACCACAGTGGAACCAGATGACAGAGGAATATCATATCAGAGAATGAAGAAAATCTTGTCTGTCATATGATGAAGTAGGTACAAGTGATCAACTTACTTATTAAGTGGCAATGATACAATTAACTTTCTGAAATCAGTGTCTGATCTATATAGACTAAAATTTAAGTACATAAAGACATGAGGAGAAGCAACACGAGAGCATTCAAGGATGTTCTTGTTCTCTGGTAGCAAGACAAAACAAAGGAAAAAAAACAAACTAAATCAAAGTAATAAGGTTATTTCACTTTGTGCACTTCATATTGGGAAATTAAATCAAGTGATATCACCTGCTGCTCACAGTGCTGTCGTATTCTCCGACCTTGCTGATGGAAATGAGAATTGCTACAGCTGTCTTGAAAGATAAACAGATCTTTCACTAAGCAATATGACTCCAGAGATTGTACTCCAAATAAATTAAAACAGAAATAAATATTTCTTCACAAGCATTTTTATTGCAATATATTTTTAGAAATAGAATAATTGGAAAAAATGATTGCCCATTAGTGGGAGAATGGCTGAATAAATTTTGCTATATCTATGGCATGGTATTCATACCAGAACTCATGTATTATTATATACCATTTAAAAGAAAGTGGCAATTTCCACATTAAATTAGAAAATTGTACAATTGAACAGTGAAAAAATCTGATCTCATTTAATAAACCAAAGAATATTTATCAGTCTATATTTGTTGTTAAGGTCATTTCTGCTTCATGACAATCTTATGTGAAGCAGAATGAAATGTTTCCCAGTTCTGTGTCATCTTTATATTGGTATGCTAAGCCCATTGTTGTGGTTATTGTGTCAAATGCTACTCGAAGAGACTGTAAGCTTAGTTAGGCTATTTTAAAGTTTAAGGGCATCGGCATTTGATAATTATATTCCAATATCCTGGATGTACTGTAAATTGTATGAAGAAAAATCCTTCCCCCTCATAAATATAGGCCCTACGTAGTTAAGTTGGTGAAGTATTACTACACACACATGGTACTATCGAAAAATCAGTTGCTGCAGCATCCCTCTGACTCATGGTGACTTCCTCTGTGGCATAGGTCTCCAGTAGCTGAGATTTCCACAAGTTGATCTCTAGGCCGTTCTTCCAAGGCCCCCTGGGTGGACTTGAACTTGCATCCTTCGGGTAGTCTGCCAAGTACAAAGAGACTCCCTCATAATCCACGAGAAGCAAATAATAATAAGAATTTCTATGGAAAAGAATGTCATCTTTATGACTTAAAATTCTTGGTGAAATGTTTGCGTCTTAATGTGGCTATATCCGCCACAGTATCAAACACAGGGACTTCCACTCAGTGGGCTTTCAATCATACACAATGGATCTTTCATCTAAGAAAATTTTTGAAAGGAATTAGTATTTTCTGTACAAGTGCTATGTGTTTAACTAATTATATTTTCTCTTTTCAAACCAACAAATAAACAAAACCAGAAAGGACCCTCATATATGAAGCCTATAAATAAATGTGAACAAATTTGTCCCTATAAAAATACATTGAAATTTAGCGTTTTAACTTGGGAAGACATAAGATCAAATTTACTAGGTTCATTAAGCTTAGGGAATTAAATTTCAGAATCTATATTTCCTAGTAATAGGTTCTGAGAGTAATATTTAGCAGCCTGTCAAATATGTGCTTATTTGTCATGCAAATTGACATTAAAGATCAGAAAATACAAATGGTTTTCATGGGCTTTCTTTGAAGACTCACCAAGTGTTTGTGATCTTAAATTTTAATAGAGTAGTATATTAACCTCTCATCAAAATCACTGCCATAGAGTCAATGCTGACTCATAGGAATGCCCCCTGTGGATTTCCAAAACTGTCGCTATTGAACTTCATCTTTAGAGAAGTCTCAGGCATGCACCGTATCGCTCTATTACCACTCTTTGTTTATTGGCTGAGTATTGATTGGCTGAATTGTTACTAGATGCCATTATTAACTATATAGCCACATATACTTATCTAATATTGTTTTTTAATTAAGAACACACTGAGAATCCTTTGTAAGTGTTCATGAAATGAAATAAATAAACAGATGTAACAAATACAGAGGAAATCAATTTCATTGGTACAATTTCCAGAAATATCTTGACACCTGTTTTTAAAAACTCTGGGACTGCAAGAGATTAAAGACCGTGATGGTGGAAATGGTCTTCAGTCTAAAAAGTAAACAGGTACGGAAGTGACCCAGCCTCTAACTCTGTCATGATAACTGAATGGGGGCAGGTCCACATAGGGTTCAATCGCAAGACTGATTTGCTTTGTAGAAAAGTATTTTCACAGGAAACACTTTTGTTTCTTTTTTTTTTTAACTTTCCAGGGACATTGCCTCCACTTTCTCACTTGCTCTATAATTAATGAGTCATAGCATTTATCTACAATCATTATAACTTACTACCTACTAAATATTAGTATCTTTTCATTTGGTGCCTGAATCAATGCATTTCAAGCAACAGTCAGTCTGAGGACGGCATAACGTGAAAAACAGCAGCATATCTCAGAGCATCCACTAAATCAGGTTATATGATTTTGGGTTTGGGACTGGTAAGTGTATCTGTACCTCAAAGTAATGAGATTTCAGTTAAAAGAATTTTCAAACCTATATTCTCATCCAATATTTTGTGACTTCAGAGAAAGTGATTATTCCTTTCCATCATTAATGATTTAGATGAGAACCATGGAATACAATGGAGTAAATTGGCATAAGAACATTTGTGAAATAAAGTGAATATGAAATAACAGATAGCGACAGATACTCTCACATTAATATGCTCAGTTGGACAGTGAGAGTTTACCATCTCTTGAAATCACTGTTTAGGTATTACCCTTCCTCTGAGTACATTACGAAGCATTGTAAGACTCTAAAGGAGAGTAAATGGTGATATTCACTGGTAGATGAGCAATTTAAATCAAGTCTAGCTTGTCAATAGTTAGCCATGTCTCCTTTCACAGCTTGGACAGATTTCCAAGGTAATAATAAGATTGATCACCCACAATTCAAAACCTGCTATGTCCCTTCAAGGGGTACTAGATATATGGTGATTTGATGTTTGCAAAAGTGTGTGTGTACATGTGTGATTGAGATTTGGAAATCTGAATGTTATGGTTTTCAAATAATATATACCTTTCGCTTAGGGGAAATTTCATACAGCAATAAAAAACACAGAATTTAGGCAGCAACTACATTGATATCCATGTTGACTTATGCCCTGCACTTATCATTCATGCTTTGCAGTGACATCCAGAGCATGCCTTGCCTCTGGTTGTGGCATTTGCGTGTACATAGATGCCCTTTGTGAAACATATTTTGTCTACACAGGCACCACTAGGACACTCCAATGATTTTGAATTTCTTTGTGTGTGTGTGTGTGTGTGTGTGTGTGAATCCATTTTATTGAGGTCTTCCTCTTTGTTTTTTTAACAGTTTTATTGGCACTTAACCCACACATCACACAATTCAATAGTTCAATCATACCAAGAATTGTACAATCATTACCATAATCAATTTAAGATCATTTTCTTTCTTTCTTTTTCTCCTCATGATTAATTCGCCTTTAAAATGAGTTGTGTAATCACCTGCCATTCTAGTGCTTACTCTCCCTCCTCCCACTTCCATGGTTTACTCCCGAAATCCCCTCATCCTCCACACGTCCCCCCATGCCCATACCCTAACCCTACAAACCCTGCATCAATTATTATCTCTGTGAATCCACTCTTTCTGTGCTTCACAAACTGGTAAACCCAACAGAAACAATAAAGAACAAAAATGAAATGAAGTGGTAAGGATAAAACAATAGTAATGTAAAGATAAAAATACAAACAGTATTTAAAAAGCCAGGGAAGAAGTTTTTGTCATGGAGCAAGCAAGAGATCCTTGCACCTAGAACGGATTCAGGTTGGGTCTACAGCGAGGTCAACTGACCAAGTATCAAGTTTGATCCAGCATAATCATGATTATAATGGTCTATATTTGATAGTACAGCTGTTCCAGACATTTGTGGCTCGAGGGATCTTCCAGTGGCTGAATCTGAACAGAGACTCTGCAGATGGGTTTTGGCTCCCACTGTCTTCCACAGCCTTCTTAAAATTGGGTGTTCATAAATTTAGCTCTGACAGTTTTTCCTTCATATTTGAATTTTATTATTGTCATCGTTGGACCATACACGCTTGTGTACTTCTTCCATGTGGACTTAATTGATTCCTCTCCTAGATGGCTGCTTATTTGAATAAAAGCTTTTCAGACCCCAGACGCTATTCCGATTGATAGCTGGGCACCATCTGCTTTCTTCACCACACTTTGCTGTAGCACCCTTATCTTCAGTGATCATTTCATGCAGGTGAGTATTGATCAGGGCCATGCTATCAGAAATAACTCTTTTTGGATTGGGGCTAGAGTTCAGGTGCAGGGGTTGGTGGACAGAGGCAGAATCCATCTGCTTATCCCTTGGATATACATGACTCAGGTTTACTGTGGTGGTCTTATTAAGACAAATTCAAAACCCCATAAGACCAGCTACCCCAACAACCATAACAAACCAACTAGCAGACAACAAAAGACAAACAAAACCAAGCAAGCAAAAATCAGGAAAACAAAAACCCATAGGAACAGTAAAGTATAAAACCTTGCCAATCATCTCCCTGGGGTATAAGGTGCTTGCACTTGGAACATCATCAATTTTCCAATGACACATCGCTCTGGACATTGTTGGTGAGGGGACTGATGCAAATACACAGATTTCCTATTTGATAGCACTCTGTTTACCCTAGCCACGGGGGAAACTTCCTTGATCAGTTCTCCCAAGTTCAAATCCCTACCCAGCAATTCAAAACCTGCTATGTCACTTCAAGGGGTACTAAATATATGGTGATTCTGGGTCCCTTTCCAGTGGACAACCACCAATCCGGGGGCTCCCCCAAGATCCAATGACTGCCACATCCATGTGTCTGGGCAACTACTCCCTGCTTCCTCCCCCATCAGAGTGTCCCAGTCCTCAGTCCAAGAGTGCAGGTAGCTTTGAGGCAGGGCTCTGTTCATTCTGCCTTGCCTCTGTTATGTTCTAGTGTAGCCCCGGGGTTATGCCATGCTGCCTTCAAGGTTAGCATCCAAGGTCATCATGGTGTTTAGTTCATGGCTTGTTTCACTGAGGGGTGGGTAGAAACGGATTCATAGTGTCTACCCAGGAGCATACAATCTGGACCATTGCCCTGCAAGGTTCCTACAGTCCATGTTTAGCATCCCTTCCTGATGTGCAGTTACTTCTCCCCCAGTCACCGACCACTCTCACCAAGGGAACTCTCAGTGTCTCCTCAGAAATGTAAATGCTCCTCTCCCGTGTCTTGGCTTGATTTCCCAGCAAGGTTTTGCTTCCATTCTGGGGTGTGTGTGTGGGGATGTGTGTGTGTGGGTGGGGGTGGGGTCTGTTGATTTGTCCCAGCCTTGTCTCAGTGTTGTATAGCCTCAAGTGGATTGTCTCCTCTTTTGAAGGAGTGATGCCAGACAATATGAGGTCCTCCTTCAAGGTGACTCTTGTGAGGTGCACAAAAGATAGATGCTGTAAAGTTTATGGCCACTAGGTAAACTTCTCCCCTTTTGTTCAGGAGTTGGTTCCTAAGATTTGTTTAACAGGTGTTTCTCTTGATAGTAGTGGACTCATACAACCCTTGTCCTTTTGTGATCAACTTATTTCACTCAGCATGATGTTTCAGGTTCTCATCACAGTTTCTTAGGGATGCCTAGTATTCCAGTGTGGGTGTGCATCATTGTTTCTTTACCCATGCTTCCGCTGTTGGGCATGGGGGCTGCTTCCAGTTTCTTGCTGTTGTGAACTGTGCCTTTATGACATGGGAGAGCATACCTCCACCCAAGTTGTGTCTCTTATTTGCTCAGGGTATATGCCTAATAGTGGTATTGCTGAGTCATGTGGGATTCCAGTTCTCAATTGCTCTAGGTATTGCCGGATCACTTTCCACAGTGGCTGTATGTATTTACAAGTCTATCACCAGCATATATGAGTTCCAATTTCTCCACATCTTCTCCAGCACTTGTTGTTTTCTGTCCTTTTATTTTTGGGGAGGTGGAGGGGTGGCTAGCCTTGTGAATATAAAGTGGTATTTGTGGTTTTAATTTGCATCT